TCAGTAAACAATATCAGACAAAACTGCAGAGGGGACACAATTACTGCAAACCATGTACTGGCTTCCTTAGCTGTGACATTTTTACCAAAAGATCTTGTTTTAGGGTCTTCTCTGTAATCCCAAATTCAAATCCCCTCTCTTTTGAAAGTGAGAGAAGTGTTTCTACCATGATTTCAATGACAAATATTTCAATCTAAGAATTCCCATCACAGCACTCTTTTTTTCAAAAAAAAGCAAAAGATCTTTTACATTTAATTCAAGTTTGAAGTTGCTGTAGTAAAATTATGTTTAATATTAGTCTCAGAAGGCACTAACATTTGTATTCTTTCTTAAAATATCAATCACAAAAAATTAAAAATTAGCCTTAAAATCTGTGTTAGCACATGGGAACAGTTCACTAAAAATAAAATACCTTTTTAGTCTACAATCAATGAAAAAACTACTTTATTTCAGGCTGCCAACAATCTGACCAGAATGCATTTCAAAGCCACTCAGTGGAGTACTCAAGTTTCTTTCAGCAATGACATTTTGTTTACAAAACATGGCTCTTGTCACCACCACATGCTTGGATATAAACAGCTTTTTTTAGCTTGCATTTTATGCACAATTATATGTGCACTGAAGTCATTAATCTAGGTGATTTGAAGAACTCACATCAAGCACCAGTACTCGATACACAACAACCTAAGCAGGCGTAAATTAAGTTGCATAAAGAGAGTCTGATTAAATCTCAATGCATTTTCTATCAATAGACTTACGATGAAAATCTGATTCTGAATTCTCAAAATCAATTGATTTCAACTGTTGACTAAACTAAATATAGAATGCAATTTATCTAAAATTCTATTTATGTAACAGCTACCTCTGTCTCCATCTTACGATATGATAAAAAAACAATGTGAAGCAACACCTTGTTTGCAACAGTAGTAATTTTTCAACCTGTTTTCAATTTAGGATAGTTTAGGATGATCAACCCCAAAGCCTGTTCTTAATATTTGGGGGGGGGGAACAATTAATATTTCAGCTGGCCAATGCAAATTACTAGATAAAAAAAAGTCAGGTCAAGATGACATCTTTTTACACAGTAGTTGACAAGGTTTTCAAAATATAATGCACAGTACTGACTTCACAAAGGCTCTCAAAAAGCTTAACTGTCAGAAGGAATCATGAAAGAGCTTAGCTATAAGTCACTACACAGAATCCACATACAATAATGCAGGTTTATCAAATATGACATTATTTACCAGTGATAAAATTCAGAAGATCTGAAGCAAATAAAGTATTTAAATATTAAACACATTTTAAAAGTAACAGTATTAACTCTCATAATGCTGAGAAACTTAAAAAATAGCATAGCTCTATTAATCCAGCAGTGGAATGCAAACCTTGAATGAATTAATTGTATGACTCCATACTACCAGATTTGACTAAGCACTGAAGAAGATTTGTTTAGGACTGGAATTGGTGGCCCAAAGCAGCTGTGAATTCCCCATCCTCAGAGGTTTTCTAATCTCAGCTGGATAAGGCCCTGAGCAACCTCATCCAACTTTGAAGTTAACCCTGTTTTGAGCGGGAGCTTGCATGAACCTCCAAAGATCCTCTTCAACCCACATCATTATCTGATTTAGATACTCAGTTCTGTAAGCTGGTTCCCTACAGTCATATTGCATTTCAGTCAGTCAGCTGCCTGAAGTGATGTATGCCTCCATTAAGGACAGCAAATTCTTCATTTTAAGTTATTCCAATTGTAAAATAAAATATGGGCAAGAGGCTGCTACATGATAGAGCATTTTAGTGTAATTTACTGTGCACAATACTCTACAATACCACTCCTCAGAGTAGGAAAATAGACCTTTTTCCCTCATTTTTGTTCTAAAAATCATAAATTAAAACAGACTAACACTCCTAAAAGGAAGAAAGTAGATTTGTAGGACACCTGCATCGTTTTTTTTGTGGGAACTAACAGGTATATAACAAATTATGGTGCTGGAATGGCTTTGCAATTAATACAATTTTTCAGTAAACTGAATACTAGGAGATCTGCACTCTCTCTCTACTGCTTTCATATATATACATATATATATGTACTCTCTACTGCTCATATATACATGTATATACATATATATATGTATATACACATAATATAAGCAAACCATTTACATCAAGCTTTTCAGATATGACTATTAACTTAGGATTATTACCAGGGTTCAAACTTCAATATTTACTATAAGGAAGCATGCTAGTCTAGCTCCTCTAAACTTGAAAAGAAAGAAAAAGGGTCAAGCCGAGTTTTTTTAAGCTGAGTATCAAGTCATCAATGAATCCTTTGAAATTTTTTGCAACCTCTCTTTATACCAAAATAATGTACCAGACTTTTTCATAGATCACTGGTTCTTATAGCTGCACTGATTCCTGCTATGTGATGAACATCGTTCTGAGCATCTGCATCAAACAAGAAATAATGCCTCATATGAAATATTAAAGATAAAAAGGTAGCAAGCTCACTTGAAAAGCATCCTCTTCATCCTGTTCACTGAAGGAGGTGTGGATCTGATCACAGAGTTTGTATTCAGTCCATGCTTAAGTAGAACAGAACAGACCTAAAATCATATGCAGGTTAATGTCTTGGGACCTGAAGAGTATTGTCACCTAAATTCTATTACCAGTTGCTATATGATCCCTTTCCAGCTATACCATAGTAACCATGGTTAGGATATCATGGATGATCAGCAAGAAGCCTCAGTATTCTTATTTCTGATAGCAATAGTTGCTATTGATATGTATAGTTGTCTTGGCTGGTCACTGAATGAAACCTGGAGCTGTGACTACAAATTACTTTTCCCAATGCTGAATCTAAGCCCCAGCACAAAACTCTGCTTTTAATGCAATTTCATTTGCATGACCTCTCCTAATCTTCTACAGTCAGTAGGAAATCGTTTCTAAAAGCAAATATGATGTGACCTTGACTTCAGATCGCAGGGTCCTTGCTGAAAATAACATGTAAATGGGGAACTTCCTCTTTCTGCTCTTCTGCCACAACTATGTGCTTTGCCAAAATGTAGGCACTTGGCATGGCCTGATCTGTAATTCTGTTTTGAGATGATTCCAAGCACACAAAGTAAAAGTTGCTCTATGCTTTGTTGCTCTCAATTCTTCCAACATCAAATGTATCTGAATCATTAGAATGAACCCTTTTCGTGCATCATCTTTCATGATGCTAAGTCTTGTTCAACGGCAAGCCAGATGTCTCTAGTTGAGACAGGTAGGTGTGTGGTAATATCAATGTTCCATTTCAAGCCTTTGCTAATTGTATTAAGCAGCAAATTACATCTTTCTTCTGTATTCTTTCATCTCCAGAGAGATGAGTAACTGACAGAAGCAGTAGCCTGCATCTGAATGACTTAGCTACTGAGGGATATGGAACATTTCACTACAGAGCTGCATAAGAAATTCTAAGATACCAACAGAATTTTAGAAACTATTTTAGACTTATGCCTGGTTTTATCATAATTGTGTGAGTTCATGAGGAGAGATAAGGCCTGAGAATTAGCATTCCTAGTTCAAGAAACAATTAGGATTGTTTGGTGTGCTCAAGACCCTCCATGAGAGACTTACAGAGGAAGACAAAGTCAGCTTATAATATCTATGTATTTAAAATAAGCAGTCTTAGATACTGGTGGGACCTGTACTACTCTCCTCTTCCATATGCACTTTGTAAGAAGCTAATTCATGTATCTCATACTCATAGTTTAAATGTGAAGACACTGATGCAGAAAAGTCATAAGAACACTTTGAAAATACAAAGTATTTTAGGTATACCAATAGTTTATTCTGGAAGAGTACGTAAAGGAGAAAAACATTAAATACATCCATCCTTTCTGAGCCAGCGTTCAGGTTAGAGTGATGAGGGGGACAGCCTCTTCTCCCTTGGTGACGTGTGATAGGACCACAGGGAATGGATGCAAGCTGCGCTAGATGAAGTTTAAGTTTGATATTAGGAAGCATTTTTTCACCAAAAGGGTTGTCAGGCATTGGAATAGATTGCCCAGGGAAGTGGTGGAGTCACCACCTCTGGATGCATTTAAATGGCATGCGGACCTGGTCCTTAGGGACATGGTCTAGTGGCTTGCACTGTTAGGCCTAGAGCTGGACTGGATGAACTTGGAGGTCTCTTCCAGCCAGAGGCATCCTGTGATTCTGAAATTAACTTGCAAGTCACCAGTGGCTCACTCCATGGATAGAAAGGCATATATACAAAGGACTAGCATAGAGTTGCAACTATGGGAAGCCCTGAGAGCAGAAAGCTTTGATGTAGGAAACATTTGCAGAGTCAGATGACTACTGTCCTTTGGCTCGCCCAGTCCAACTTTGGGATAAAGTATGGCTTTAGAAAAATAGGGTATGTGGTAAACTGTATATCTATGCACCAGACAGAATGTGGCTTTGTGGGAAAAGAGAGGAGCAAGTTCCTTTTTCACATTCACAGGAATCATTAGAGGCAAACGCCCAGAGGCAATGGCAGGAGCAGAAGACTGCATTCTATGCCACCATCTGATCAGCCTTGTTACTGGCTTTCTGTACTTGCTCTTGTATATACACCTCAACTCTGCAGAAAGGCAATTGCTAGCCTTTTTGCTTTTACTGTTGGCATCAGCCAAATGCACATGGTACACTTTTTTTACTTAAGCATCAGCATTTGCAATACAGGCTGGTAGATTGGACTCATTAGAGTCCAGGAAGGCCACATGACCAGAGTAAACACAGCAGCCCTGAAACATCCCTGTCTAAAAGGAATACTGCTCACCTACTTCAAGCAAACCAAAAGAGCAGGGGTCTTTAAAGGTCAGGAGGACAGCAGCAAACTGTCTAGGAAATAGAACAAAAAAACACCCTGCATTTTGTTTTCATCTACTGTACAGGCTGTATAGTAGGGCTCTAAAACACCCTATATAGCTGGACATGAAATATTCTAAATTAATTTATGTTTCTCAGAAGGTGACATGGAGAAGCCTATTTACAGGCCTGTGCTCAAAATGTGCAAAATTAGTTACTTGAAGGTAACTAAGGTGCACAGCTGCTCATTCTGATGGCCTATCGTCAAACTTAATGTTGCTGTTAACTAGGAGAAACACAGAAAAAAGGATATTAAGTTTCCTCTATCATCTCTTCCCATTACTCATCTCAGTAGTAGTCTGCGAGGACTGCAACTCAGAGTCCAGGAAAGGACAGCTAGGGCTCTAGCACCTCAGTTCATCAGCTCCTATTTTACCTCTGCTGTCAATCCAATTTCCCCTTTTTTCCACATGCCATTGGATAATTAATCAGCACTACTAACCAGCCCTACAGTTAGTCCTAGACCATGAACAGGATTCGTTTATATGCCAAGTCAGCCACAGAGTTTACACATGCCTTCAAGGACTTTGATATTCCTGCAAGTAAAGTTTTCCTATGTAGTCTTTGACATATTCCTTAATATAATAGTTGCCATGTACTGACTTCAAAAATCCTATTACCAGTGTCCCAGAAAGTGGGTAGCATCCTGGACTACACGCCTGGCTTCTGTGCTGTGTTTGAGAATTACACAAGTGTGCAAGAGTGCCTCTACACATGCCAGGAATAAGTATTCAGACCCAGATTTATTTGGAAATACATATAATCAGCAGATGGATAGGGCGAGTTGCCCTATGAAACTCTTCCCAATGTTATATGTCACCTAACTTCAGCTACAATGCATCATATCTTTTTCTTTCCCTGAAGGCAGCCTGGTTGTAGGCCCTGAGTCTAATTCCTGGCTGGTTAGCTTTCAAGCAGTTACACTGGAGGGGGACTGACATGCGGGGCTCTGCAAAGCACACAAAGTCACAGGAACGTGACTTTAGCTATTATGTTAACCTTCATCCAGCAGAGATTTTCACATCACAAACTCACTCTTTTCTCTAAGCATCCCTAGAGATTTTTTCTTCCTCTTACATGGGCTGATGGTTACAATCAGCATCTTAACAATACATAGAAAGTAAGGGTAGTCATATTTCAGCTTTTTTCACCTCTAAGTATCTCAATCTTGTTTCTCTGCAAGAACAAGTGAACTAAATAAACTAATGGAGACTGCAAGGCCGAGAACAGCACTGCCCGCTGCAACCTCTGCTTTTCTCAACCAGGTCTTCCGTGGCTCTACAGGACATTTTAACCAAATAAGGATTAAAGGGCTATATTCTCCTTGTTTAGGCATATATTCCAATTCGAAATTACTCTTGATAATAGGACCGCAAATAACAGACAAAGCTAAAACAGCGGGTTATTTGAAATCTGTTAACCTCAACATTACAGATCAAACTCGGCTTTCTCTCATTTAGCTATCAGGCTACGAGAGACTCTGGCAGGGAGGTCTGAGCCCAAAACCAGAGCAGCAGCTCCCGGCCCAGAGCTGCCCGCGCTGCCGCCGTCCCCGAGGCCTCAGGGAGCGGGCGCAGGCCC